TAAGATTAGATTTTCTATCTAATGGAATTGTTTCAATAACTTGAAATTAGTGTCACTGATAATTATATCAAATGCATACCGGCCTTGATTGCATACCTACCAGATTTCCAGGCATTTTTCCGAAATCTCATTCTAGCCTGCAACGTGTCAGCTTTTATAGCATAAGGAAAACTTGACAAAACAACAACAACACGCTATTATGTGGTTTTTAAAGAACATTATGCATATATATTTTGTTAATTTCAGGGGGTGGAATATGCGCAGTTCTTTCTCTTAGAATATCAGAGACAAGATGGCGGAGAGTGGATCAGATTTAGGAACAAATTTGGCGAGGAGGTGAGTAAAAACATCAATGACACCATGGCATCAGCTTACAGTTATAACTTTGATCTAGTACATAACTATCATTACTATTATCATTAATATAAATCCCTCTCGTCTCTTCTTTCTTATCAACGTCGTCGTTATCGTCGTCTATGACGTCATCATCATCATCATCATCGCCGTCGTCAAATTTGTCGTCATTATCATTATCGTTTTCATTATTATCATTATTTTATTTTAATTATTAAGTTATAATCAACAAACAAACAGTGCAATAAGGAAATCATGTAATTACACAAAGAAATGATGAAACACTGTATCAATATTCTGTTATCATTTCTAACCAAGAGTCTGTATCAGTTTTCTTAATCTCGCTAAATGAAGCTTTTTTATTAAATTGTACACGTGCATGAGGTCACACCTGGGTCGGTATCAAACACTTCGACAGTTTACAACGACCAGGTAAGTGCTATGTCAAATTTTGACATGACCTCTTGAGCTAAATGCTTGAAAATGTTGATAAATTTTAGGAAAGCATTAGCATTAATTGAAGACTTACTGCGAATGAATTTATGTGAGTATTTAAAAGCACTGACAACAGAGAATGAGCAAAGACGTAGCAAAAACAGGGGATGTAGAAAATCTGCATGATCATCTTTTTTTTTTTCATAAATTTCTTTCAAACGATAACGGAATCATCATTATTGCACAATAACTTATCTACATGAAGAAGATTTGTCCAGCAGTATTTTATTTTTACGATTATCTTAGAAGTGAAAATTAAAATAAGTAAGGATTTTTTTAATTTGTGTTTCCTTGAAACATATGACGATTAATGAAAATCATTTCTCTTTATCAACAAAATTTGTTTTACCTCAAACTTCGAAAAAAAAGAGTTTTATTTCATACTGTATGAAATAGGCACTTCGCACATCATGTTGAAAGGCACAAGGCACAAAAACGAATTTCAGCCTACAAACACGTTCAAAGGAAAGTTTGAAATGCGACTACAACAGTAATTATTTCCTATCTTTTCGTCCATAAAACTGATCAAAGAAACGTAGTTGGAAATCTTTGACTATCAGAGCACTTGACACGAGTTATAAAAGTTTAGATACGTGTAATCCGCCGCCTGTCAACTCAGTATGTCACTTTATATTTACTCTGGCTCTTTTCAAATATCTGTCGACGTATTTTCATCAAACAGATATGCACGTTATCAAAGAACCCTCGTGCTTCAAATATCTGCACAATTCTTTTATATTGGTTGTAAATATGCACGAATTTTGGCATTTAGTTTCGTAAAACGTCTATCGACGCACCTGGTTACCTTAGAAAAGCTGGCAGTAAAAATGTTGAAAGATAAATCAAAACCGCAGTTTCGTATTTTATAGATTGCCCGGATGTACAGCACAAAGTCGTCTGCGCATAATTTTCATCAAATAAATGCATGATTTATCGGCATTAGTATCAATACACGTTGGAAACTTCGGAAAATGCCAATCATTTTCTTACAGCAGTTTTGATAAGCCATGATAAGCCTTTAGGCTTGAAGATGAATGGGATTTTACGGAAGAAAAACACCCTGGGAAGATAGTTCCCTTGTCTTTTAAGAAAATTCTGACAAGATTTTGGATTACTCATGAACGGTGAATGATTAAAGAAAAACACTGAAGATTATTTATGATGGAAAGTTGATACAGCGTGTATACTTATTTGTTTCAGCAAATTTTTGTATCCAATTCCAAGTAAAGAATTAGCGTTAAGCACCATCCAATCTTTTCAAAAATAATACAAATCTGACACTCCACACAAACAGTTGTCATACAGTTGTATCCTAGTATTACGATAGTTTTTTCTCGGCTTGTTAGAATAGGTTTTTAAGCATAAATAATCCCTTGAAAGCCGTACATTCGGAATAGCTCCTGCGAGTTAACACTCAAGGTCTTTTGAAATATGTATTACTTCAGTTAATAACTTCCGCTTTGGAAAATTTCAGGATTCTTTTTCAACCTGAGTGATTTATAGATCTGGACAATTTACAATTTATTATTTTTCTTAAAAGGAATCCATTGTATTAAATGTACATTAGACATAAATACTGAATCCGTGGACAATATTTGACGAACATCACGGTTAGAAATTACGATCTTTTCATTTTTGATACGGCTCCGAGATGGGGTATATCAAAGCTTTGTATCAAATAGGCCTGTCTCCCGTATCAGTCGGCGTCAATCAGTCTTACCACGTTGTATGATTAGAATACCCTACTTAATGAGCTGGTAAACAGTCTTAACTAGTAACGGATGAAATATGGCCGATATATGTCGATAACTGCGATTCTCTCGTTCCCTTATGTCTATCACGTAATGATTTCTCCATAATATGTCGTGATTTATGTCTTGGAAATGTCGATATTGTCATAATAATTCTAAGAAATTTATTGCAGCCATTTCCTCGCGGTTATTTGAGAAGTCTAAGAAAAGCTTTTTATTTCGCTATAACTCTTACGTTACGAGGGCGCATTTTCGGATTAATATGCATTTTACCCATGTACTGCTAGTTTTCGAAATATATGATTCAAGAAACAAGGTTTTTAACATACAAGTTATCTCAGGCGATCATTAAATTAAACTGAACACATACTTTCTCAGAGAAAAAAAAACGCAGAAACACAGTTTGCACTTTAATTCTTCTCTTTCGGAATCGTAAAACTTATATAAAATTATTATTCAAATATCACGCATTTTAAGACCATTCTTTTTACAACCATAATATTTCATGTTGCGCAGTTGTTAGCAATTTTAGGCAGACGGCTTTACGACGGGTCTTAAACCTGATTTCAAGCGTTAATACAGTTTCTGAATTTTCAAGATGTTTTTGTTATAGAATATTGTAATTTATTGCCATATACCCTTGAAAGAAAGAAAAATAAAGTAGATAAATTAACTGTGCAATTGTATGTTTCATATCAAATTAAGAGTTGATATAGGACATTAAGTATGACGTCGGAAAAGACAATACTTGTTTCTAAGTGTACATTCTGATCCTTAACAATCCACCAAAAGCAAAATCGTTAATTACAAACTAGACTTAGAAAGTTCATTTCGTCTACCAAAAACACTCTTTTATGTTCCAATTAATCATTTATTAATTATTATACTATCAATGAACCAATAGCTATTTAGCGAGGTTGTACTATTTTATTTTATTGATTGAATAATAATGTTATTTAAATATTGTATTTTACAATTTTCTATCATATTTTGTTATTTCAATTGTTTCTGTCTTAGTTCAAGAATTGCATTTTCTTCTTGAAATGTTTCTTTGTATGTCAGAATAATTATGTTAAAAACATGAAATAAGCTGTACATTAGACCTAACCGAAAAAAGCATCATGATACCTCAATATTTAGAATATATTTCAAATAAGTTGATGTCATGTCCTGCAAACTTTCATCATCATTAATTTATCATGAAAATAAGAAATAAACATAGAATATATACAATGATTTTTTTTATCAAGACTATGTCTGAGGGCAATAAATATCACGTGACATAGGAGAAAGGCCGTGATTGGATGATATGTGTTAGACAGTATGGTGTCGTATTTCAGGATTTTAATAAATATAATGATTATATTTTCCCAACAGACGTCTGGCGACCATAAAATTCTGATTTCTACACGATAGATGAAACACGAGTTTCGCTATTGATTTTAAATTTGAGTTTGAGAAAAGCTATCCCCAACAATACTTCTAGTTGAAACAGTGCACGAGTACAGCTCATAGATTCTTTTTAAAAGTATAATGCAAAATGGCGGTTTTTATGAAAACAAACAAAAAATGTTCCGAAAGAAACATAGATTTATCAAGGCAAGAACGATGATGTTGGTACTCATTGACAGACTAAAATACATGTATAACATTTACTACTGCAATATACGTAATGAAAATGCTATGACGATGTTGATGATGATGTTGATGATGTTGATGATGATGGTGATGATGGTGGTGATGATGATGATGATGATTATAATGATGATGATGGTTAGATGATTATAATGATGATGGTGATGGTGATGCTAAAAATGACGATGATGATGATGTTGATGATGATGGTGATGATGGTGGTTATGATTACAAATTACAAAATAATAATAATAATAATAATAATAATAATAATAATAATAATAAAGAATGATAATAAAAAATGAAACATGATATCATATGATCATCAGATCTAAGCCTGCAATTGTACGTCCTACGTCACACCTATTGAACGTTCACGTACTGTATACATAATTATATTTAAATTAATGAAGCTTATATCTTTTATATAGTAATCAGCCATTTAATTTTACTATATTTCAAAAATTTCAGAAATTTGAAGGGAATCATAATCCATACACGGAGGCCATGCGAGATGTGTCTCCACCAATCATCGGCAAGAGGATTCGATTCATACCGTTCAGCCAGAAGCCAAGGACGGTGTGCATGCGTGTTGAAATGTATGGCTGCGAGTGGAAAGGTGAGCTTTAACAAATTCAAGTCTCATTTTTGAAAAATACATAATGAAACGAAAAAAAAGGAAAGAAATAAAAGAAAGAAATAGAAATAATACAGAAAAGTTTGAAAGTTTAGTCTCCCAAAAGTTTATATTTTGATCAATTTAGTAATTTGCTTACATCATGAAAAAGAATTATCAGTGTCTTGCAGGACGTTAAATATATGCTATAAGAAATCTTTTTAATAAGTATGTAGGCTTTAAGGTACCGTAACAATTATTTTTAATGATACAATTTCATTTTATTTCTCCGAACGATTATTTTTTTATCAACAAATATTCTTAAAACACGCGTTAACCGATTGAATCCATGTTTGATAGGAAAAAAATGTTTAAAAGGTGAGTTGTTTAATGTCAAAATATAAATCACGGAAAACTCGTGCTGTGTGGAGGGTAGATCAAATGGTAAATATGCACGCTTGCGCAATGATTTTTCCATATGTCAGTGAGATGAATATGTAGATGAAAGAGCGAAAAAGACAGAGATTCATTGTTATAGATCTGATAGGTTTTATTGAATCCTGCATTTTGTGTTTACCTCAGTGAACACTATCTGAAAAATATTCTGAAATTAGCATAATATGAAATTAATATGAATTAGGTTTGACAGAAAACTGCCGCCACATTGATGGAATAGCATGCATCACGTATTGCGTGTAAAATCAAATTATATCTCCTAAAATATATGGTAAAATAAATAAACCACGTCGTAATGCTATTGACATTATACGTTATCAAATAATTTGTCTACGAATGCTCAAGCGTCTGTTGTAATTCTCAGCAGAAAGCAAGCGTCTACAGGATTTATAAAGCAAGCGTCTACAGGATTTATAAAGCATTACTGCAACAGACGACACCGATGATTTAAGACCCTGAGTTGAATAATCACCACTCGTATCTGGTACCAAGAAAATAACAAAAACTGCTAATATCTTTTTTCTTCTTTTTTTTGTTCTTCTCAGAATTGTCTTTAGTGTCATATCACATAATAAAGAAAGAAAACATTTTACCATACACGAGCAACATCGCAAAAATATTACCGATATTTAGATGTTTTATTTAGCACTAATAAGATATTTATAAAAGTTTTATAAAATGGAAAGTCGTTCTTTGTAGGTTATTGAAAAATCGTTTCTTAAATTAAAAGAAAAAGATAAGATAATACATTTTTTCACCTATCAATATGACTGTGACTATACTAAATCCGAACTGTACCAAATGAAATTTTACAAGTATCAGGTAATGCAAAATGTAATTATGTGTGTGTAATGATAAAATAAATTCTTCAAACCTAAGCACTGGCAAGTAGATATTGTCAGTTTATAGGCAGTAACCGTCCAAAGATAAAAGATCTTCAAAATATTAACATAATCTGATTTATTTTCTTCTAGACGGTCTAATATCATATTCAATGCGACAAGGGGATTCCCGGGGGTCAGAGATTGACTTCTACGACTTCTCGTATGATGGTATGAGATATAAGAAATACCTCAACAATGGTCTTGGTCAACTTACAGACGGCAAAAAAGGTAATTTTATAACAAATACATTGTTACAATAGCTGCTATTCATTGAGTGATACCTTTAGTAACCCTCCATGTAACTGGAGACCCTTTATTGTTGTTTTTATAAAATTATACAAAAAACAATTATAATAAACGAAAAAACATCAAAACATTTGATTTTAATATTCTGACGCTTCATTATATGATTATACATTAGTTCTTGTTGACGTTTTCTTCGTTTTGACCTATTTGAGATATGAGTGAGAAAAAAACACGAAAAAAAAAACATGTTGCCATAACTCATTATTTCAGTATTGTTTACAAGTACGAACATCCCATTGAACATTTCCTCTCAATGATGAAGCTTAAAATTTAATTTATTTCTGTTGATATTGACCTTGTAAATTAATCAATAACCTTGACCTTTTTTACAGAACAGAACAGAACAGAAATTTTATTTCGTAACGTATACAATACAGTATCTTGTTACATTACATATATCAAATATTATAAATAGATAAACACATGATATAATTCAAAGATTTACAGTATATTGGAGAATGAACATATATTGCTGCGAAAAAAAAATTGATTTTGTATTAAATAAATGTATATCAGAATAATCTCATTTTTAATATCAGAATAATCTCATTTTAATATTAAAATTACTAACGAAATCTAAACGTATACAATATCTATGAAAATAATAACAACATATTAACATTACATTTATGTATAACCTAAGCTTATCAACATATCTTTTCTTTTACTATTTGCAAAATAAATAAATTTACATAAATTTAATAATATAGACTTTTCACATGACTGAAGTAATTCTATGAATTTAAACATGCTAGGTTTTTTATAATAATATCTTTTAATGAATTTAGTGCGTATTTCCTGGTACAAATTACAAACAAGTATAAAATGAAATTCGTCTTCGACATCTTGTGTATTACAAAGTTGACATATGCGCTCATGTCTTTCAAGTCTGTTTCTACCATATCTACCAGATTCTATTCTTAAATTATGCGCAGATATTCTGAGACGGGCTAATTGTTGTCTTGATTTCATACACTTAATTTTATCTAAATAGCATTCCATAGAAAAATTATCCTTGATATGTCTAAACAATGTATTTAAAACGTTATTATTAACAATATCTGCAAACCATTTTTGTTTAAAAACATCAATGACTCTTTGTTTAAAAATATTAACAAATTCTTTTGGATTAAAAAGTTCAGGACAATTCTACACCTCAGAAAAACCAAATTAATCTAAAATTCCTTTTACTTATACGCCCAGTTTTTTACTCTTTTTTACACTGATTTAATGTATTTATATACACACATTTAACAATGATATTGTTTGAATGTATCACTTTAAACCAATATTTTATTATGTGAACATATCTATTAACATAAAGTGGGTATCTTCCTAGCTCACCATAAATTGCTGCATTACAAGAGCTTATTTTCACACCAAGAATTAACTTGCAAAATTTCAAGTGTAATCTCTCTATATCTTTAGATTTTGTAAATCCCCAGACTGGACAAGCATAATTTATGATAGAGCCGACAAAAGCATCAAATAATTGTAAGGAAACAGAAGGGGATATTTCATACTTGTTAATATTACATATTAAAACATTCATTGCTTTCAAAGCTTTACCTATAAGATATTGATTATGAAGTACAAAGGACCCAGTGTAATTAAATACTACACCTAAATAATTAAAATCGTCAACAATTTCCAAAGCTTCATTATTATAAAACCAACGTTCATGAGGAAGTACTGGTCCTCTATTCCGAAAAACAACTATTTTAGTTTTGGCGGTATTCACCTCTAGGCCCCATAGATTACAGTATTCAAATAAAGAGTTTAATCTTTGATGTAAATCCTCTTGCGAGTTACCAATTATTACCATATCATCAGCGAATAACAATATTACTATACATATTTCAAATATATTCAATCCACAATCGACAGAGTTTTGTAAACATAATTCTAGGTCTTCTAAAAATAGTGCAAACATGGCGGGCGAATTATTTTGGCCTTGTCGTAGCCCAACCGATAAATTGAAAAACTCTGAAAATGTATTGCAATGTTTAACACACGACTTAACAATTGAATACATTGATTTAAAAGTTCTAAGTAACTTCCCATCTAATCCCATATTAAACAATTTATACCATAATGCATTGCGGTTCACAGAGTCAAACGCCTTTTTTAAGTCGATAAAAGCACAAGGTAATCGCATTTTTTGAGTTAACATATGGTTTATTAAATTGTGTAACACGAAAATTGCATCTACTGTACTACACCCCTTTCTGAAACCAAATTGAGCGTCTGACAAAATGTTATTCTCATCAAACCATTTTTCCACTCTATTTGTCAAGACACTTATAAACAATTTCCCAAAGTTACTTAGTAATGTGATGCCACGATAATTATTAACATTAGTATGATCACCTTTTTTATGAAGAGGTATAATAAAGCCTTCAGACCATATTTCTGGAAAATAGCCCGCATCAAAAACTCTGTTAAAAAGATCAGTGATATGACCTACTAATATATCAATAGAAAATATAAAGTATTCGTTCAATAAGTCATCACTTTTACAGGAGAGCATAACTTCCGGCATACAGAAAATGAGCCGAACATTAAAGGTTACGAATGGGTTGGTTGGCGGAATGACACCTCCCACGGGGAAGGACCAGTAGAAATTCAATTTGAGTTTGAGAATGTGAGAAATTTTTCGAAAGTGACAATAAATTGCAATAATTACTTTTCAAAGAACGTAAGGGTGTTTAAAAGGGCGTTAGTGTATTTTAGTGTTGGAGGGAAATTCTTTTTCGGCGAGCCGGTGAAGTATGAGTTCGAACAGGATAAGGTCATTGACTATAACCATGAAGTTGTCATCGACCTGAAACACAATATTGGAAAATTTGTCAAGTTAAAACTCTTCTTCGACTCTAAGTGGATTATGATAAGCGAAGTGGAGTTTGATTCAGGTATAGTACCACTATATTTTCATTTGCTAAGGTGTTATTTTTAAACTTATCATACTTATGAATAATACATGTAAACGCATGTGGCTATTTTGTGTACATGAGTTGAAACCCCGAAGCTGGCGAAGAATATAAATTTGATTAGTAGTATGACTTCCAGCGGAGAATATCATAATCTATGCAAAAACTATAGAGAAAAAAGTACAATGATCGCCCGGAACAGAAAAAAAATGTGTTTCTAGGATATTGTCAATGTTTTGATCTCCGTGTATATGCAATAATATTTTGTTTATCTAACATTTAGTTCCAGTTGTTGGAAATATCACAGAAGAAGAGGAAGCTGTACCGACAACACTTCATGTGCCGACGACGACAGAAAGTGATAAAGCCATAAATGATATAAATATCCAAGTTGACGGGGCAGACGCCACTGGTGAGTCACCTAGTTACATTGTTTACAGTTGACTATGTCATTGCTGTAGGGTGTAACTTCTATTTTCGCCTTGTTTACTATGTCATTTTTGCAATTCAGTTTTCATTAAATCAACTTCAGCACCAAATATGTATAAAGGTAATGGTCATTAAATCAACTTCAGCACCAAATATGTATAAAGGTAATGGTAATTAAATCAACTTGAGCACCAAATATGTATAAAGGTAATGGTAATTAAATCAACTTGAGCACCAAATATGTATAAAGGTAATGGTAATTAAATCAACTTCAGCACCAAATATGTATAAAGGTAATGGTCATTAAATCAACTTCAGCACCAAATATGTATAAAGGTAATGGTAATTAAATCAACTTGAGCACCAAATATGTATAAAGGTAATGGTAATTAAATCAACTTTAGCACCAAATATGTATAAAGGTAATGGTAATTAAATCAACTTCAGCACCAAATATGTATAAAGGTAATGGTCATTAAATCAACTTCAGCACCAAATATGTATAAAGGTAATGGTAATTAAATCAACTTCAGCACCAAATATGTATAAAGGTAATGGTAATTAAATCAACTTTAGCACCAAATATGTATAAAGGTAATGGTAATTAAATCAACTTCAGCACCAAATATGTATAAAGGTAATGGTCATTAAATCAACTTCAGCACCAAATATGTATAAAGGTAATGGTAATTAAATCAACTTCAGCACCAAAGATGTATAAAGGTAATGGTAATTAAATCAACTTCAGCACCAAATATGTATAAAGGTAATGGTAATTAAATCAACTTTAGCACCAAATATGTATAAAGGTAATGGTCATTTTTCAAATGCCACAATGTACTCCATATTATCCTGTCACTTGTATCAATTTCGGCCCGATAACAATGTGTCGTATATTTTTACTGATCTACGGCACTTGGTCACGTGGTATGCATGAATGGGCACCTCTTTGAAGGACTACTTTTCAAGAAAAAATAGAATTATTGTTATAATGTTGGACTTTATGTTTGGTGGTTAAATTTAAAAAAATTCATGAAAATAAGCTTTATGTTTGGTGGTTAAATTAAAAAATTTTCATGAAAATAAGCATGCTGCTTTAAAATAGCGTACTTGATTTGATTGTTTTGCACGTGCTGTTTGGCGCTACATTGTGACGTCACGTAAACAATACTTT